TCTCCCAACTCCAATTCACTCTGGCTCTCTTCCCCATTCAAGACCGCCAGTCGTGCTCGCTCCCGGACCATGCTCCTCTCAATCTCCGCGATGAGCTCTCGTCCCAGACCCTCCGTGACCGTCGGACACATGCCCTCGACCATGACATCCAGGAGAGCCCCACTGGGGTCGGTCAGTGTGAACCGATCTCTCTCCCAGTAGGCCTCATAGCCCAGCGAGATCAAGACTCCCAGGGGCACAATGGTCTGGACCCTCGGCGGTGAGCATGTCCGAGAAGCTCAACACCGTCTCCAGTGTGGGCGTCACATCGACCCCCAACGTCGCCCGAGTCGACGACATCCGGAAGGCCACTTGGCTGGACGTCCGTCCCACCAGCTCCGTCATCTTATCCAAAGCCCCCAACAGCAGCGTGGCATCAGGCGTCGCGATGTCCAGCTCCTGCGCTCGCCTCAAACTTCTCCTCCACCCTCGAAGTGCTTCCACCACCTCGTTCATGGATTGAGGAGCCTTCGGTTCCACCAGCTGTCGAAGAAGGCGAGATCTCCCCGCGAGTCCACCAGGCTGGTATCTCCTGAACAGTGCATACAGGACCTCAACCGAACTTGTCGTCCTGCTCGCCAACACCTCCGCCTTGATGTTCTGAGGAGCGGCATTGATCAGCATCAGTTGACCTCGCTGTTCAAGACGGCTCCACACCCCCGAGCACTCTGGAGGTGTTCGTGGCCTGATGTACAGGCGCTGCACAGGTTCAGCCTGAAGCCAATCTCGATAGGCAACCATGGCCAGGTTCAACACCTCCTCCCACCACTTCCAACTCGTGGCACTCAAATCCTTCATCGTCGGCGTGATGAGTTGGATCCAGTCACCAAGGATCAACGAGCCCAGATCGCCTTCTCGAAGGTCCTGCAGTGGCGGGAGTTCAACTGACCGGATCACCTCCCCCCCAGTTCCCGTCCGATGAGCTCGTCCCAAGCTGCCTCAGAACGGACTGTGCCGCCTGTTCCAGACGAGAGCCCTTCATCAACTCTCGCATCCCTTCTCTGTCTCCGTGGTGTCCCGGTTCTTCACCTGGTTGACGTCCTGGATGTAGTCCCCACCCTTGAGCTCCCCAAGAACCTGGCACTCCGGGTACTCCTGAGCCTCGTTGGATTCCATCTCTCCCCATAGAGTCCATCGGCTTGGTCTCCATGCCACCTCCCGGGAATTCCGGAATTTCCACGTCGGCCCATGCCTGACCCAGACCTTCCTTTCTCCCACGGTCAGGTGTCACTGGAGGCGGTGCCTTAGGAGGTGAAGGTGGTGGTGTAGTCGTCGGTGGTCGCGGTTTGTCCTCAATGGCCTTGGCCGCCTTGGTTTCGACCGTCTTCCGGAGTTCAACCAACTCCTTCTTCAAGGCCGCATTCTGTGTCATCACTGCCTTCAAGAGCTCCTGGATGTCCATCGAGATCCCTCGTCCTTCTTCTCCAGGCTCCACCCGTCCAGAAGTCGAGGGACCCTCAAGGAACCCCGTCTCCGGCTCCGCAGTTGGCAGCGCTGCAGGCCGCATGGCCCGGAGCATCACCTCGTTCTGAAGTCGCTCGCTCCAAAAGGGGTTGGTGACGACCTTCCCTTGTAGTCCCTTCCCCTTGCCCTCTTTTTCACGACCGTCGCCATGTCGGGCAGGTCCGTAGACCACAGGTGGGCCTCGAGGCACTGACTCCGCCAGCACCAGCTCCCCGCTCGGGTAGTCCTCGATGGCCAGTTGCTCCTCCTCCTTCGCGCTCTCCATGGAGCCCTCCTCCGGAGGAGGCCGTCGCAGCTGCCGGCGCCGACCCGCGCTTGGCCATGGGGACCAGCAACCAGGCTCCTCTCACAGGATGCCCTGGGTGGACTTGAAACCCCCCGCTACCGACCGAACGTTGGGCTCATAACCCGCACGGACAGCGGCCTTCTTTTTACCGCTTGATCAAAGAAAGGGCTTCATGTCATCGGCCCCTTGGTACACTTCTCGATTTGGTCCTTTCGAACCTCAACCTCTTTCTTGGTACACGTCTTATTTGTGCACCTGGATCAACAACCCAATCTGCTCGGGGCCTACCTGGTCTCCGAAAAAGCAGAGTTTTAGGTGTGACACCCTCAAATTCAAGAACGACTTGGACCAGCGGATCCGACCTATGTGCCCTCAAAATGTGGCCAAAGAGGCGGCATTTTGTTTTTTTCCATGTCTGCCCGAAAGGTTCAAAAGTACATCCATGCTCCAGCTGGATGCTAGCGTACATTCGAGCGTTTGTTTGTTCCCGATCAATGAACGTTGGAGGGATTCCCAAGATCCTTCTGAGACATTTGTTTTGAAAGGCATTGAGGCGAGATATATCAGCAGTATATAGTTAGCTGTATGCATTCAAGACTGTAGAGAAGTTTAGACCTAACAATAGCGTTGAAGACTTGTATTTTCCATTTGACACTGGTGTTAGCTTTGACCAGAATATCTTAAGACTGTTACACGTTGCTATGCAGTCGCTCAGTCTATTGGAGATCTCTGCCCGGTTGTCAAAGGAGTCCGACAACAGGGTGCCGAGATATGTAGCAGAGTTTTTCCGTGTAACCTTGGCACCTTGTGCTGGGCCATTCGGTGCGAAATGAACGGAGGATTGCAGTTGGTTAGAGGTGAGATTTACGCGTTTGTCACAGTTCAGTTTTAACCCAAAATATGCAGAATGTCATTCGATAGCATGTAGTAGAGCATTAATGCAATGAGTATTGGCACCGAAGATTAAAGTGTCATCAGCATACAAAATTTCAGCAAAATGAATGCCGTTTATTATCGTTTATTGGTTTCTGTTGTCTGGGGGTGTTCAGTTCTTGCTTCAAATCAGCAAACAATGCTCCCATGACCAAACAGAAAAGATATGGGGATAATGGGCATCCTTGACGGATCCCCGCACCTTGGCATTTCAAGAGGAATCTTGCCCATTCATAGACACCTTGAATTTGGGTTCCCTATACTATAAAAGCTTTGGATAAGACCGATTATGCGGTGGGGGACCTTTAATCGAAACAAGGCTTCAATCATTCTATCTTGGAACACTTTACCAAACGCCTTTTTCCCAATGAAGAAGAATGAGGGTCCTGGCACTGTGCGATTTTTCAGAAAGGTCTTGAATACGTCTTGCTAAGAAAATAGCCTGAGCAGTGCTTCTGGCTTTCCGAAAGCCATATTGCGTTTGCATGAGCCACCTATCCAAACCTTTGTCTAGCCGCTCTTTCACTAAGGCAGCTACAAGTTTATAGCATGACGTTAGATCCCCAGCTGCTAGACATTTTGTTTGCGGCAGCAAGGACAAGTTGACGGTTGGTCTGATCCAGCCACTTGAACAATTCGGGGGGGTACTCCATCAAATCCGGGTGATTTATTGGGCTTGGAGCGGGAAAGAACATAGTCGAGTTCGGCCATAGTGAAAGGAGAGTCATCGACAACATATGCACCGTTTTGAGCGGGTTGTGGATCCTGCTTGAGGGCGTTGCATCTGGACTTTCCGGTCTTCCCCATTGCTTCGTAGCGAGATATTCAGCGGTTTTTCCGGGTATAACTCATACGGAATGAAACTCCCATCAGCATCGCGAAATGCGGCGTGAACTTGGCTCGTAATCGCTTCTACCCATCCCAACGATAACCGGAGTGATCAAGTTCTTCTCGTTGCCTAAGTAAATGTGATTCTCTATCTTGGCGCACTTGGACAGTGATGTTACGATCAAGAGTTCTAGCTGCTTCCCAGTCTTGGCTCTCAACAGCTTCCCATTTCTTTTTAAGAAGGGACCAGGTGGCGGCTGGAATATAACTTTTCTGCGCAGGGTGACGACATGGGAGTCCTGTTGATGCGCTGTGGAGGACAATAAAATTTAGCTCGTCAAAAGTGAGCTGAACCTCATCGTCTGGTCTGGACCGGTTGGCGACAACCTGAGCAACGATCGTGTTATAATGGCTCGACTGTGCAAGGCTTGGGGTGTGGAACTTCAGGGTGTTGACCGGTTGGGGGGGAGTTTTAGCTTTCAGTTTGAACTTGACATCAGTTTTAAGAAGCCTGTGATCTGTGTCTAAGGCGTGTACGTAAGTTGAGGAAACGTTCAGGATAGAGTTTTTCCACCGGGAGTTGACAAGCATAAAGTCAAGTTGAGCGTACTTGTGAAAATGAAAAGGATGGCCCCACTGAGAAACTCCACCAGAGAGGTACGCAACAAGATGTTCAGGAGACTTTTGAAAAAGAGTATTGGCTACCACCAGGCCATGTTCTAAACAGAATTCAACCATGTTGGAGCGATTGGCAAGCTGTCAGTCACTCAAAAAAGTCAAAAGTCAACTCGTGGGTGCTAGCTCCAAAAGTATGAGGTCCTATAGCAGTCCGCTCGTTCGGGAGCGCTTTAATTAGTCTAGCATTGAAATCGCCGCGGATAGTCTTAGGGGAGTAAGCATAAGCCGTGTCCAAGACAGTGTGAAGTTCATGATAGTGCGTTGAATTGCTCTCAGTATCTTGGTGGCAAGCCTGAGGCGCATATGTGGAAACAACATCTAAAACACCAACTTGCATCAAAAATTGAGCACAAATATTGCGAGCACTGATGGGCTGAACACTGCTTAGAAATTCCCGGGCTGTTTTAGAAACAACAATACCAACTCCAAGATGTTCCTGCGCTTTCTGGAAAATATCAATACCAACCTACTAGCGATGGCCTCCACCCTAGTAGATAGCGAAAAACAACAGAGCATTTCATGTACCTTACATGAGCTGCGTCGCGTTTTACTCTTTGTGTGTTTAAAGGTCCTAGCTCACATCCTTAACTGCAGGGGTGCCGCCTAGTGTTTCGCGCGGGGATTGAACCCAGGTCCGACGCATGCCTACCGGCCCTCTGCGTTAGACGTTGTGTCTGTGTGTGTGCACGCCCATTTCAACAGGACAAAACATGTGTATAAAAACATGCTTAAAATTTGCAAGCTTGCATGATTTGAGTCATCTCTGAGCCACTTTAGTCGAAGTTGAGCCGAGGCAAATATCTGTGTCCTCACATCTGGACATAGCTGAAGGGGCTTCCTCTTTGTCCTCAGTTTTGACGGGACCAGCATAAAGCCCTCGTTTCGAAAAAGCTTGCATGGCATCAATTTGGCCAGGCTTCGTTGCCTTCAGCAAGACGTTCCGAAATCATGGCGGCAAAAGTTAACGTTATATAAGGTATATAGTGTATACAAGCGCTATGCGGCACTATGTGCTGCATCAGCCGAGTGTGGCAGCCATGGTGACCTGATCTAGCTAGCTCCAAAACCCTCTATATACTGTTAATTGCATGATTCAATCTCCAGTGCCTTCAGCTCTCTCGATGCGCTAACTTTGCGGAGAGGATGCTGGCGATGTAGACTTAGATGATATATGAAGTGTCATTCCCGAATGGCTTCAGTTCAGTTCGCTCCCACTCTCCCTCTTCCTACATTTCCCTTCATCTCCTCGAAGTGATGCCAATAGACAAACCAAATGCCATGCCTCGCCTACGGCATTTGAGAACGCAAAAGGAGCCCACTATCTTGCGCGAAAAAGGCAGCAGTGCTTTGCCAAAATGCTGCGAATCGCCTGGACTGTTCTGACAATGTCAGGCTTCATCCATACTCTCAAGTGCTGACAAACCTCGGCTCCCAAAGCTTGCGTGTCCAAATTTGGCTTCTAATGGTATGCCAAGATTCCCAATCATGCAGCTTCAACTCCTCCGGATCAGTGACCTGCACTCATCTACTTGGAAGAAAGCTAGGAAAGCTAGAGCAAAGCCACTATTTAATAGATATACGATATATATATATACAGGATATATAGAACCACTAGAGTTCCAATCTTGAGATGAAGGCCCTTCCGATTTGAAGGATTGGCATAGCCACCTTGCGGAGGTTTGGTCGCTTGCATTGGCAGATTTGGTCCTTGAGACAGACTTTGATAGAAGCTGAGCACCAAGCACCACATGGCAAGTACATCTTCTCCCCCTTTCCCTCACAAATTTTAGCGATGGCTGCTTTGCATAGCTTAAATTGCAACCTAGCAGAATGTCTGGTGCTTTGCCTCTGAAAGCTCCCATGAGAACCGAGCAGTCCTTGGAGTAAGAGCATGGGTGCAAGTTAAATGTTTCTATATATGGGAGGGGAAGCCACACAGCCAATTCACTAGGCCCAGCGACGACTTCAACCAAGTACCTTTCCTTGAGACAAGCTTTCCGGGCTTGATCTGCAAGGGTGATGGCGGAATGGCTTTGCACAACTTCTTCTTCAGGAGACAGCAGACATGCCTCCCAATCTGGCCCGTAGATGTATCGCCTCATCTAACACAATGCCCGCCTTTTCGACAGTGGCCAGTGTGTGTGTGTCTGCTCAGGCTCCTGCATTTCTGTTTGCAATGTAGCCTCTAGCACCTCCAGAGCCTGGAAAGGCGGCAAGGCTCAAACGTCTTCAACAATGGCTTCCGTTCGCTCCTGCCTTCCATGCTGCTTCCCACCTCAGTATTTGTTGGTTGTTTTTGCCTGATGATAAGTACCAGCTCAAGGAATCTAGGTGCATTGCCCTGCAATACCACTGCCGTCCTTCATTGAAGCTCGAACACAACGACTCGGAGTTTCCGCAGGCGATAGTATACACCACTACGCTCTCTAATCAAGGTCAGCTAGCACAACAGTGCGCCTCGTGAGCTTCTGCAAGCACTGTCTCCAGATCACGCAGTGCCTGTCATGTGCACAATGGAGGTGGGCAAACATCTAGAATCTAGTCCTCTGCTCATTTGCAACGTGTCACAGAACCGCGCAGCCTGCTGCATCTCGAAGGCCTGGAGTACTGAGTACACACTGCACACGAATATGTCCACTGGCGTGCTTGAATCCATGATAGCCCACAAGGCCTCCAATGCTTTTGCAGGGTCCCCCATGCTCCGAAACAGGACCAACGGCTCCTACAAGTTCCACATCAACTGCCACAAATACAAGGAACTCCAGCTCAAAAATGTCCTGGAGCTGCCCTCTTGAAGACCTGCTAGCCTCGCTCTTCAACACATTTCAACACAAATACACTCATCAATTCAAACGAGCTCTCAGGCAATCTCCTCTCAACAAACACAGTGAACCTACTGCAAATGTCAAAGTAGGATCCCTGCAGCAACAGCAGGTTCAAGGTGTCTAGCCTCGGAACTGACAACGGAATGCCTCTCATCAACTTGAAGCCCAAGCCTCTAGGAAGCTCAGAAGGCGAAGCGTGTCCTGTCGGCGAAAACATGGGGCAGGCCATGGGCAAAATCACAGCCAGCCATGCTGCTTCGTCTGCAGCAGTCTGCCCTTGAACCACCCTACTCAGACCTTGCTCAGCAAAGGATGTGAAACCAATCCAGCGGGGCCTTTTCATTTGCAAACGCATCGAGCAAACTGTGAGGAGGATGGAAGGCTTCAGCTCGGAGATGACGGCACAGCTGCGTAATCACAAAAATGACCAATATCGGCTTCGCACTGCACTTTATTGAGGTCATGTATTTCAATGATGCAGGTGCAAAATGGGTCAAGTCCACCTCGGCAAGCTTTGGTGCGGCCATTCGTGTCCGCTCTGCTCCCTTGCAACAGAAGGATGCTGTTTGGCCTCAAGACTTCCAGCCATTGTTTCCTTCGAGCACACCACATGCCAAAGAACTATCCGGAGTCCAGAGAGGTGGCTAAGTCCCTATAAACAAAAAAATGCTGCGAAGCCAAAGTTGCTGCAAATTCTTGGCAATGCCATCGGGAATCTGAAGGAAGGATCGTCTCGAATAGCCCAGTTCAAAGTCGCACAGTTGCGAGCATCGCATTCTACAGAGCAAAGGGATGCACCACACTCTCCAACCTCACAAGTCCATACCTTAGGACGGTCATGATGCACTTGACAGTATCTGTTGAAGATGCTGCAGCCCAAAACACTCAAAACACTGCCAATGTTACCGAACCTGAGGTGCACCCGGATCAGCACCGTCGCGCCAGGAGACGAGGAAATCTAGCCTGGTAACAGGAGGCGGCTCTGCATCTTCTGTCAAGAACCAGGTCAACCACTTGTCCACCAACAAATCCTCAGGTCAACTGGCAAATCTCAATTGAGGCATCGCAATGAAGCCGAGGTTCAGTATCGGTAAGAACCTTTTGCGTAGCTTCTTCGTGTCCACCAAAGAAATCCCGCGTGGCCTGCCACACTCTCGTCTTGAGATTCTTTGCGGGACTGAAGCTTTAGAACAAATTGGCTGGTGCTTCACGGCACAAGTCCAGCACAAGCTTGAAATTCATCTGAGCCCAATGTGTCAGCTTGAACCGGTGGACAACCAAACCAACTAAACAAATGCGTTCTGCCTCAGAGTTTGAAACGGCTTTCGCAGATGCTAGTGCAAAATGTTGAACTTCGCAGGCATCCTAAGCTGCAGCCAGGGATCCACAGGGAAATTCCAACAAGCACCAACAAGTACAAGTACAGCTCGCACAGGACTAGCGGACTAGCGGCTACCTGATACTTCCCCGGGCATGGTGCCAAAAGCCATTATGATTAAATGCAGCAGCGTACGCAAAACAAAATCAAGTGGCTTGGTGATTGTGATGCTCGCCTCGACGTTTCATTCTCAGCCACAGGTGTTCTCGCACAAACTGCTCTGGCCCTCTGCACGCATCTTGAAAGCAAACCACTCGATGCTCACAAACAACATCTCGTACTAATCCCTGTACCTATGAGGGCGCGCAACTCCAATGTAAAAAAACTGAAAGTATATGCCGAGTGAAACTATATTTGTTTTCTAGAACACTAGTTTAGACTGGGGTTTCAACACCTTGACATAGCTATCCAACTATCGCTTAACCCCTGCCGTGCAAGGATCCAAGCAGTTCAAAGGCTCGCTTCCTTGATTCAGCAGCCGGCGCAACACCCTCGCCAAGTTTTCAATACCAACAAATGGAAGGACATCATCTCCCTGCCAGCTGAAGCCGAGCTTCACCACACCATGAAAGGAATCAAAGCAATCGTCAGCAGGCGTGGCCCAAGTGTCAATCTGACCGCCAATCAGCAAAAGGGAGCGAATGGCACGTTTTGCTGCAGCTCGAGCATCCCTTGTCACATCAGCATATTGAACCTTGACAGTTGGGGGAATGCGCCACTCCCGTTGAAGGCTCATTTGCGGAATCCAAAGCTTGCCACACAATTGCTGATACAAAGTGCTAGGATGAGGCCAGCCGCTTCTGAGGCCAAGCCTTTCCATCCTTCTCTGGAAGGTGAAAAACTGCCGCTCGCTCACACAGCCCGCAACAGAATCTGCATCAGAGCGCTGGCAAGGCCACACAAAGTACCACACCACTGTGTTTACTCCCCATAGCACCGCTTGCGCCCAGTGTTCTAGCCCTTTCACGTCCAAGTCTTCTGAACGTTTCACAAACACCGTGTAGGCTTCAAACTCACCAGGGATCAGCAGCATAATTCCGTATGGACCATCCACCAGGTCCAAAAGCATGCCATCGTTGGTTACGCAGTAGTCCGACCAGGTTGGATTGACCTGATAGTCCCACCATCGCACAATAAGGACAGATAGAAGCGGCCGTGGCATCTGGGTTTGTGGGGTCAGGCACCTCACCAAGCGTACAGGTACCTTCAAATCTATGGAGTTTGCCATCCCATACAAAGGGTCACAAAATGGCCCAGCAAATCGTAGCATCACAAAGTCCTCATTTGGAGGTTTGCTCTTCAGTACCGTTGCTGGCAACCAACCTGATGATAGTCCACTCAAAGGTTGCAGGTGACAGCCGGAGCAAATGTGAACACTACGATGACCTGAAGGGTGCAAGTTTGAATGGTAGAAGGCCAGCACCTTCAGGCCAGCAGGAAAAACACCAACCACCGCACTTGCTCCAAGAGGTTCTAAACGCTCACCAGTTTGGCTTGGCAGCATTGCCACGTCGCATGGCCATGAATTTAGTCAAAAAAATGCCTAACGTGACACTTGCACGGTTGTTTTCTCTTGTCTTCTTTCTCTCTTCTTCGGCATTGTGCTCCCCTCTTTCTCTCCCTGGCCGTGTCGCATACGAGTGAGTAAAAGTTCTGTTCATGACAATCTTCATGTACTTTGCCAGGGCTACATGGCTGCGAGCATGTTCGTAAGCAAGAGCTGGGAAACATTTGACTTGAATGCTCACGTGGACAGCTTCAAAACCATCCAACAATTCCACTCCTGCTGGGGCCAAACATTCCCACCAAAGGCCATTGTCCTGCCACCTTGCTGTTCAAGGTGTTCTTGCCTCAAATGACCCAGGCAAAAGCATCCACACTCACACAACAGTTGGTGCAATCGTGCTAGCATAAGTCCCGGACAATGGCGGAGTCACAATTCAAAATCATGTCAGCACTTGTCAACGTGTGGTCAATCTTACTCTGATGTAGCTAGTTGGTTAAATCTACTTGCTAAGGTCCTGCCTGTCTTCTCACTCTCATGTCTGCACCAATGTAATTTTTTTGACTATATTATTATGGCCTTAGCAGGTGGGGCTATTGAGTTTTGGGCTGTAGTGAGTCTACCTTGCACAACTAACATCCCATTCACTTGGGCCTGGTCCGCGTTATTATCAGGAGCAATCGCAAGGTAAACAATCATCAAAGTTTGGCTGTGACATGTCATGTCCGACGCATTTGTTCCAACGAAAGGAATGGCGATGATCAAAACTTGTGCACTTGCTCTGGAACATACCCAAGCCTTGGCAGCACATGTGAGTTCATCAGAAACTGTTGACTTCTATTCCGGCTGAGGACCAAACTCTGCCAAAAAACCTCCAAGGGGCCCTTAGCATTTCCTTTCGGCAGAATTAGCTCTACAATACAAGTTCAAGATGCAATATGTCGTCTGCATGAGTTCCCCCCTCGCCTTTTTTGCCCATTTGGCAGTGTGATTCGCTGGATGGGTCCCGCAACAGTGTCCACAAAGCCGTCCGTGCCGCACACGAGGATCATCGAACCTGTAGCACTGTAGGCGCTTGAAGGGCTGCAACTTCATGAGCACACGTCCAACCAACGAACACATGGTTTACAAACTGTAAGGATACCGTCACGCACGCAATGCCAAGGTCAGGACTAGCATCGGGAGCCGGAAGACAGTCCCCCAGCGTTTTGCTTGTGATCCGTCCGCTTGACTTGGCTGGCCTTCATTGTGCCCCTATCATTGGCAAACGTATCAACTACCCAAAACGTTTCTTTGCTGAAACTTGGAGCCACACCACCCTCCTGTTGGCATGCTCAGTTGGGTGTGAAGACGAAAGCAAGGGTTTCGAACCATCAAATCCAGTTCCTCAGACTGGCTGGTGGGAAAAGGGTCAGTTTGCCAAAGCATCACATCATGTCATCAGTTTTGCGGCACGCGCCTGTGCACCAACACGAACACCAAGTATGACAAACATTGACAGGCAAAGTGTTGATGTTGGGTGTTGCAACAATGTTGGGACGCACCGCATAACAGAAGTCTGTAGTGCGCAGCCATTTGGTGAAACATGTTGGGCAAGCAGGGCATCTGCAAAAGGTTTAAGGCTGCACCACAAATGCACAAACACGGCTCCGGCTCAGCTGATGGGCAGAAGTTTCAAGGGTGGAAATCTTTTGAAGTGTTCATGCGTTCCCGCGCGGGTGATGTGCTGAAGCCATGTGCGAAGATTTTGCAAAACACATTGCAGTCAATGTGTTGGACACGCTGCATGACGGACTTGGCGGTGTAGTGCTCCCTGTTGCAGATACTGCCGTGGTGTCAGGGCAGATACCGAGAATGGCACGGCGGCGTGCGTTTAGACCCGCCTTCTCTTCCAGCGTACAGGTCGGGAGCAGCGGTCATCAGCTCTAGCTCGTACCTGTCCACTCCGGTTTGTTGGGGCTTGAGGTCACCCTCACTGAGAACGGAGTATTGGGAGGGATTCGGTGGGGGAAGGCTCAAAACTTGAGCCTTCCAATTGTTCCCAAACAAAGGAACTCAACTCTCACAAGCCTAAGCCGCCCCATTATTCTAACCGTTTCATGTTACTTCGGCCATGTTCGCTTACTCAACAATCACGGCTCCGAGACGCAAAAGAATTCCCATCCCACTCGGCCCCTTTTGTCGGCGCGCGTTTAGACCCGCCTTCTCAGCGACGGCCGAGTTCCAGCGTACAGGTTGGGAGGAGCAGCCTTCATTCAGCCCCAGCTTGTACCTGTCCACGCTGCCCGATGCTCCGGGCTATTGGGGCTTGAGGTCACACTCACATCCCCCTGCACTACCCCCAATCTTGGCCTTTTCCTTGCGAATGCTGACTCCTACAGCTTTTTGGCATCATCTTGAGAGGTCTGGGTTTGTGATTTCGTTCACAAAACTTGATGTCCTTCAAATTTTTGTAGTACTCATGGCCACACCCTGTTGCATACGGCGCGCGGGTCCTTCACAGTGTGAAGTACTACAGTGGTTGACCTGTTCTTTACAAAGGTCCATTTCTCATTCATCTTCATTGACTTCTGGTGGGGCTCTCGTAATCATTTCGATCTCATCCTTGGCGGACTCGGACTCGGCTTCTTTGGCTTTCACCACACCTTGCAGAGCTTCACGACCCCGAGTCTCCAGTGCCTCAAAAATGGTCTTTTCCATCTTCCTCTTGTTCTTTTCGTCATCGTCTTTGATCTTCAAGGCCCGCGCAGACCTCTACACAACTTCACCCAACATGAGGCCTTTTGCTAGCCGCTAGCCATTGCGATGACTCTCAGACGCCGTAGATACCTCAAAATTGCGTCGCTCCCCCAACAGCAAGAGAGTTGAATCCTTTAATGTTCAACTCCCATTCGAGCTAAAAATTGCCCAGAGGTCGGACTGTCCCTGCTTGGTGATCATTGCGCAGCTTTCGTAGAGGCCGGCTTTTCGTGTTGGTCACAAGGAATCTTCCTCCCCATGCCCTGCCTCCACTGTGCCTGGGCCTGGGCCCCGACCACGCCATCACGGCGTCGAGACTTGGCCACAACCTTGCACATGGTCAGTAATGGTCACGCGCTTGACGATGCGCAGGCCGGCTTCGGCAGGCGAACAGGGCAAACAACAAGCTGACATCCAAAGGCCTTGCCGGCCCCTCGTCAACTGCTTCGCTCAAGTCGACCGAAGCACACTGCTTGTCCGCACGGCGCTCGCCCCTCTGGACGACCATCGGCTCCTTGGCTGGAGGGCATCTGCCCGCTTGTGATCTTCACGAATGCTGGCAGTGCATCCTCATGGATGCGAATGAACCCTAGGCAGCGCAGCATCATGTAAGCATCCAGCCAGCGTTCATTCGCCTCTGTCCGGATCAAAGTGAAGGTCTCTCTTGGTTCGCCGTCTCTCCGCCTGTGAAGCATCAACCAGAATCTCCAACCTGCACTGATGCCTTGCATGTGCATGTATTGTTCTGCACAACCCAGGCCCATGACTGCCATAGCACCATAGGAAGTTTCTGATGCAAGCCAACGCCGGCTCGATTTGCTTGCAATAGTAGACTGCCGACCTTCCTTCAAGCTGCGGCGTTTGCGTTGCTAAGGCTGCGCGCAACATCCTCACAAAGGGGCGTAGTTGGGGTATGAACCCCGATGCCCAGAACATCCCAGGACATACCTTTGGAGAGGTTTCCTGGAGACCAGTGGCCTTGTTTCCAAGGCCTCACACGGGATCTTCCACTCTTCAAGCTTCGTTCCTGTACCCGAGACTGTCACTGTCAATGCCTCGTTGTCAATGTGCAACTTCGCTCCAATCTAGTCAACCTCTGTAAGCCATCTTCAAACACAGCGCCATCCGCCACATCAGACATCAGGATGCTATTGCGTATGTTGCTCAACTGCTGTCCTGTCCCCCTTGCTACCATCAAGGGGCCGCCAACGAAGATGCGGGGCCTGCATCCGTCCACATGAAACACCGACTGTGCTCTGCCTATCTATCAATGCTCCCATCCTCCCTCCCACAGACCAAGGGCCCAGTTCGTATTCCCAACAACACTGTTTTGTCTTCAAACCAGCCCCCCAAAACTCATGGGGCTCACTTTCTCCGATGGCTCCTTGACCTCCAGGAGCCTCAGAACGTCTTCCTCAGTCTGTGGAGCACTACAGTAATCTTTTCATCAAACTCAATGCGCTCGTTCACACCACTTCGACAAAGATCATGCACCAATTGCTGCACCGTCGAGCTTCAACTTCGCTATATAGCCTACAGCCAAGGGAACAAGTTGACCGTGCTCAATTTCGAGCTCTCTTCTGCTTTTGCTCCAACTCACAAACCGCTTGTCCAACTCCTTCTTGAAAAGGGATCGGCCTCAGCTTCATACGACTTGTAGTTTTCCAATGCTCCTTCTAACCAGTCCAATGAATCCAACTTGGTCTGCTCTTCAATTGGTATTCTGACGCAGATTTGGAAAGACTCCAGCTCGTATTGCATTGTAGATGCCCAACGCCAACCAACTTTTCATGTTCGACATCTGCTCAACTTGCGTCATGCACAGTTGCAACGCGCGCCGCAATGTACGACCAACTGCTGCCCATCCGGCGACCTTCTTCACTGACTGCCAGGAGCTTCTCAACCCCCCAACGCACTGTTCGTTTTCAAGTTCGATCTCAACTTTCTGCGAAAACAAATTGTCAGCTTTCGCGTCGTCCGCAAATTTCATGCGCCAGGCAGTCTTCCTGTCTGGTTCTGTTCCCAGCGCCTGAGCCAAGGCAGTTTTGAACACAGTATTGCCATGAAAGTCAATTGCAAAGCCAATCAGCGGTTCGTGCTTGTGCAGTGGCGCTCCTGGACAACATTTTGTCATAACTTTGAAGCAAGCAGCGTTTGCTCTGGTTAGACATACTCATACCTCACCCATGAAACAACATTGATCGCCCTTGTGCAACGTCACACTTTGTAACTGCAAGGGCCTCTTCTCTCTGGCGCCACAAGGGTCCGAAGCAAACGCGGGCTGCAAGCTCGATTCTGCCTCGGCATTGTCCTCTGGTCCAAAGGCTGGGCTAAACAATGCAGTCGTTCCTGTTGGCCTGTGCTGGTATGTGGTTTCATCCCATGTGGTTGGTGGGAGAAAGGCAAAGGAAAACCCATATCCAACAAGGCAGCTGCTGTTTCTGGAGTCATGATGCTTCCGCTTCTTGGGGTTCCGGAAGTAGGTGACTGTTCGGCGCACGCTTTTCCTTGGGTTCTTCTTCAAGGACAGCTGCACGAGAAGATCTTGAATCCTAGTTCACCGATTCACCACATCTCCAAAGCCAGATTGCACTTTGCGATGAGGTTGGCGATGGATCTCATGATCACTCCTAGCCCAAACCCTCTCTTCCCTAAAACAGCGTGCCGGGCTGGGAGCACCTCAGGCCTGGCGCCAACCCTGGCCCCCTAGACAACCATCCATTGGGATGGTGCGATAGGTTCCTAAAGCTTCGCGCTTTCACCACAGCTCCCATCTGGGGCGGGTGGGCAGGGTGCAAGCAAGGTTGCGGCTCCTGAGCAAAGAACACCTGCTCAAAACAAAAGATACCACCTGAACTCAAGGAACAACATGTTCAACTGGAAGGGGTTGGGGTGTGGAGTGATTCCCTTATGCAGAGTGCCCCTGCAACGTTCCCAAGACCAAGATCGTGAATGTGCCTTGGCCCGTCTGATGGAGGAGGATTTGAATTGGAAGCCGCCTCTCTGGAGTTGCGTGTACTGCGCTTCGGCTTTGATGGCTGGAAGTCGTGTCTGGTGCCGTTTGAACTTCATGACTTGCTGTTCTTTTGGTTCCCTGTGCTCTGTGCAGACAAATGTGTGGACCTTGGCAGCGCAACTTCCCCTACTTGGCATCCTGCTTATGCCTGAACATCAGCTCAGAAATCTCTGGATGAAAAGAAATCCCCAAGTTTGCCTCCTGAAGCACAGTGCAGTTGGGCGTCAGTGAGAGGAAAACACGTGGACTTCGGGTGTGGAGTGCCTACCGGTGTTTCATAATTTCCTGTCCTGGGTTCGGATAGGAAAACGAAGACTGTGCCATGCTTGGCTTGATGTTGATTTGACTCTTCTGCGGAGTTGTTGCGCTGATGGCATGTTCTTGAATGCAGCCGTTTAAGCATCTTTGGACCATGTCACATAATTGACATTCATGCACTTGTGGTTGGCAGGCAGCGGCAAGCAGCGGAATGCCAAAGTGAAAGGGAAGGCCAAAACACATTGGGCGAGAACTGGGCGGCTGGCATAGTAGCTTTAGCCTACGTTGGATGGCAAAGGTCCTTGTTTTTGCCTATATTACATGATCCACCTATAGCACTGTCTCTCTCGCGCCTGCTAAACTTGGGAGCCTTCCGCACCAGGCCGCGCCAGTGCCTCTTGCATTCTCTGCTTCCGTTTCTCGTGAAGCTGCGCCACACACTATTAAGTGAGGAAGAACTAACACGAACCCCTGTCACCCGTCCAGGTGCCCTTTTGCACACCTCTTCTATCACTAATGTGTCACGTGCAACTTTGCGTAACTCGGAACTTTCTCATCAAAAGGGTTTCAAAGGGCTTGGTTGCCGATAAGGGTAAGTTGGCCAAGTTTCCTCACGCATCAATATATCCTCCTCAGTCCTGCATGCCAGCACCATAGATATTCCTCGAAGGTGACCACAGGTGCAAAGGAATCTTTCCAAACTTGAGCAGCGTAGGAAACCCAAAGCAGCGAGCTACTTACCTTGAGGCATGGTTCTGGTGCCACTGTTCCAAGCCAAAACTTGGGTAGCCTCAGACGCGTTGAGCGTGACCAAGAACCAATCACTGAACTCAACCCTGACGCTGAGAACAGCGGTGCTGCAAAGAATATGCCCTGTAATCAACGCCTAAACATGTCTCCGGGCTGCAAAGCACAGGTGCATGAAGGCTTTGAGTAGGTTGTCAGTCTGCATGGTGGCACGTCATATTCAGTTCATACGCGTAACGGCTGAGGAACTGCGGCTTGCGAATGTCGCCGTGTTGTTTGGCACGCTGCAGTTGCATTGTCGTCGCATCAGTATCAGTATAAGTGACTCGAATCTTGTCCCCAAAATACAGAATCGTCGGAGGTTGCTGTTGATGAGCATACGAAAGAGGCAGGTCCATCTGTGCACTGAAGTGCGTCTGACAAAAACGATCTTACTTGGGTTGTTGACATAAAGACGGTTTATACATATTGCTGGGGAAGCGGCGTTCCGCTTGAGACATTGGACCTGCCACAGACTATATTGCTTGACTGAAGTCAAAACTTTTGTGAACGAGACATGTACGACCTTTTTTGGAGCCCGTGACTTATTGATGACCTTCCAAAAGCACCCCTCAAAATCGTCAACGCACAGCTTTCCACAGGCTATATTCAGGAGCATGTCTCCACGAGTTTTTTGGCAGCAAGCACTATCATCGCCCTGCCTTTTCAGAGGAAGTACATCAATGGATATAAATGGAAATATATAAGTAGTTGTACTGTTGTACTGCAATGCGTTGAGTTCAACAAAGGCTATATTGTGTCTAGCCGCACTTTTGCTGAGGCACTACTTGATATAGTGGAGCCAGGCCTGTCCCGCAGGCAACTAAACCAATCTGCTTCCAACGTCCAGGCGACAATGGAGCACCAGCTAGGTAGCCAAACTCGGCCTTATTGGTCAATGTGTCAACACGCTTCTTTTCCAAATGATCAGTGGTGTCGACATGTACTGCAACTATGAGTCATGTGACTCTTTTCTGAAATTCTCAACCTGCCATTCGGCCTCGATAATTTGTATCTACTTACAGCTTTTTGGCTGAACTCGCGTGCCAAGTATCAGGCTTGACTTTCCTGAGCAGGGGAGCCATGGCATCAGATTACTCAGGAGTGGGGAAACTTTGGATGGGCATTGGGAAGCATCAACATCGACTTCTACAACTTCTAGGAATGAGGCACATTGTGCATTGACTCCAAAGACGTTTCAACTTCCAAAAGCAACTAAACGCTGGGATGATTCATCAGCGCCTTCTCACCAGGCTGCAAGGCACATATGTAAGCCCCAACGCCTCCTCCAGCTCGAGGTGGGTAGGCTTTCACCAGGAGATCAAACGATCCAGCCTGCTCCCCACTCGCTGAAGCAGTGTGATTTCAAGATGGTTCAGTCAGGCCTGTGCGGGATGCGACACCGGAGAATATGACTTCTCCAGTCCAGTTGCAGGAACGTGGACCTTGACACCTTCAAAGTCAGCAAATCTCCCAAGAACGCCCTGGAACGTTCTCCCCTCCTGTGGGAGCAGTTCGTCCATGTCCTCCTAGAGGAAGCCCGTCAGCCACAGCAAATCGCAGCAGGGAAGCCTGGTGCAAATCTACCCTGTGCCACAATGCCACACAACTCCAACTGCTCCGCAAAAATGACAAAGTAGAGCGATTCTCGTTGACAATTTCTGGGTCATCTTGCCGAGGCTCTGATGGTGTCAAATTCCTCTTCCACAACAGTTCAAAAGGGCGACACGAAGTCATTGCCCGAGCTGCGTCATGACAGAATCAGAAGGGTATGTTGCTCAGCGTGTTGGCACAAACATAGAGCTACAGTATGTTTGACACATGTGCACTGAGAAGTACTGTAGGTTCCATGTGGGTGGTTGCTGTGGCTCAAGCAAGGGTGGCAGCTGCAAAAAGTTTGAAAAAAAAATGAGCCACACACAAGCGCGATTCATTCTGGATTGTACAGGGTCTCCCACTCTCTTCCCCCGCTCTTCTCAAACTCTCTCCACTGCACTGGTTTCGCACTTATTTTGCGGATGGGTAACCGCTCAAGCGAGTTGTTCTCGCAAGCGGCACCTTGTGGAACCTCTACGACGCATGCTGAGTAGTCCACTGCTGCGCTCTTCTGTTGTACTCCTGCCGGTCGGTCAGGAACCTCAGGCATCAGTTTGAGAGGCCCGCTGAGCCAGCAAATTGTTCCAGATTGGTCTAGCATGTGCCCAAATTATCGTTTCATTTTCCGAGATTTGCTGGAAACACTGTAACACTGCGCACATTTTCCACAATCGCCATTTCATCGTGGCGCACGTTACTGTTGGCCGGTGCATATTTTGCCGGTCTTTCTGCAGTGTGGTGAACAATCAGTACATGCCGCACACCATTTAAGTATCCAGTCCTGGCAGCGTTCCTCACACTTGTGGCCCAGAGGGGGGTGGCGAAAGCTAGGCAAAAAAAACAACGCTGGGGCCCTTTAGGCAGCAAAAGCCAGGCCGGGAATCGCAACATGCCATGGCCAAGGGAAAAGGAGAGTACCAACAGCGCCCCCCCAATACCCCAACACAGCCAACACATGGCAACACACAACCACCCCAGCAACCGCCGCAGCAGCAGCAGCAGCAACAGCCACAACAACAATAACTGTAACCAGCAGCGGCAGCGGCAGCAAGCAGAAGCTACCAAGCAGCAGCAGAAGCAGCAGCAGGAGTAGCTAGCAAGCAGCAGCACCAGCTACCAAGCAGCAGCAGCAACCAAGCAGCAGCAGCAGCAGGAGCCACCAAGCAGCAGCAGCAGCAACCAAGCAGCAGCAGCAGCAACCAAGCAGCAGCAGCAGCAACCAAGCAGCAGCAGCAACCAAGCAGCAGCAGCAGCAGCAGCAACCAAGCACCAGCAGCAGCAGCAGCAACCAAGCAGCAGCAGCAGCAGCAGCAGCCAAGCAGCAGCAGCAGCCGCAGCCGCAGCAGCAGCAGCAGTGTTGCGTTGCAACAAGTGCAGCAACCCTGAACCGCATGAATGGCATCAACCGTACCATGACACGAGTTGGGGCAGCGTGACAATAGTATAGTTAATATAAGATGCACAAAGGGAAAACTCAACTACTGCCATGCTTCCACCAAACATCACCAAACTCTTCATCACCCGCTTCCCCCACCGAACTCTTCGCTCATGCCCCAACACGTCAGCAGCAACCAGCAAGCAGCCAAAGGCAACTTGAGAGAGGAGGGGGGTGAACGAAAGGTAGCAGGGAGTCAGGCGTAATCCGGGAGGAGGTGAGAGGCCCCCCACTTGTTTGAAGAGAAGTGACTGAGCGTGATGAAAGAAAAACAAATGCACAAACTAATCACAATCACGTCACATATTTCTCAAATGCAACTTCGGATTTACATAGTGGCGTGCTGCGACCCTGTAAATTGCGTGGCCGCAGGCCATGCTTGCAAACAGGACGAGCTCAAAAACACTGGTATTTACGAGGTTTTGTTGCCGTCGATCCACAGCCGCGGCAAGGTCTAAGGCCACGCTTGAAGACAGGAGGAGCTGAAAACACTGGTATTTACGGTGTTTTGCAGCCGTCGATCCAGAGGCGCACCACGGTTGTGTGCTGGAAAAGCGCAGAAAACCATGTAAATACCGGCGTTTTCTGCCGGGAAGGTGCACAAAACCCTGTAAATACGATAGTTTTGTGCAATTTTGAAGCCTCCAAAAGCCTCAAAATCCCTTTCCGACAAAATCTTTCCTGGTTTTTGGTATTTTTTTCGGTCATTTTTCTAACCGAGACGCATCAAAAACCATCGGTTTTTGCGGTGTTTTTTGCCGGACAGCCACAAAAAACGCTGTAAATTCCATGATTTTTTGTCACTGTTGAGGACTGGAAGAGCTGAAAACACTGATATTTACAGTGTTTTCGGACCGTTGACCCCGAGGCGCGCCAGGGTGGAGTTGAAAGGGGGGGGGGGGGTGAAAGAGTGACTAGGGCGTACACGGTAGAGGTGCAGACCGCTAGTGTCTTTTACGCGCAGAGTCTTATCCTCTTGCTCTTTGAGCCTTGAAGCAGTCAAGCATGGACACACTATATCGGCTGTTGGAGTGGAACCCTGTACAGGTAGGCTCTACTTTTCAGCAGGCACAAGATTCATGTCCACTCCTAGCTGATTGCGTATGTCGCATACTCTTTTTCTACTGCAAGGCTAAAACAGTCCAGCTAGCTCTGACAACTTAAAAGAAAACTACGGTGCCATGTACTTACCTAATCCAGTGTGTTTCACACTATAGAGAAGGTAATCTCAAAGCTACTAAATACAGTGAGGGAGCAATAGCTGACTCACCTCAAGTACAAAATCAAAATGATAATGTACCTCGGCTGGAGACTGTACTTTTCACAGGCGGAGATACCATGTACCGGCGCTCACTAGCTCTTTATGGCCTGAGCTAAATCAAACTAAAAAGGGAAAGCGGCTTTTTCTCTACAGAGACCTATAAAAGAATCAAACGACACTCGCGTAACAAGGAAACAAAAACTTCAAGACCGCACAAATGCAATTAATTAAAATGCCTTGCAAAATGCAAGGAGCGTACGGTCCGAGGAATAATCTTCTCGTGACGTGGTCTCGACCGCTTTCATCCACAGACAAAATAAACTGCATCAAAAGGACTCTCTTTCACATTCACATCAAAAACACAAGAAGGAGATACCGGCAAATGTATGTACAAAAAATCTTGCACTACAATTGCAAATCATGAAATGACTTAATCATCAACCATGACTGGTTGTCCATTAGAGGTCATCTCAGAAAAAGCGGCTGAGATAGATATCATCAGTTATGCAAAACTGTCCATACCTATCTACATGCTAAAGCGTATAAACCTGGAATGCAGGAGTATCTTCTTTGATAAAAAGTTTCTCCTCATTGCAAACCAGAATTTATTAAAACTTCAGCCTGGCAACTTAAAGTCAAGCCTGGAAGCAAAGTATCAACTGTAACCAGAAGTATCTTCACTTCCTAGCCATCATTTAAATCTCAGCCTTCGCTCAGGAATTATGCCGCTGCAAACGATGAAGCTGCTTGATCAGAAGTTGGCGGCCTTCCTTTCCTTTTATTCTCTTTCTGTTTCTCCTTCCTCCGCAGTTTCGCCTCATGAAGCGTTGCTCCCATGCGATACTGTCTTCTGTCTCCAGATGAAAAGGAAGCTGGTCTGAGTGAAATAAACATTGGACCATGACTGTCCTCGTCAGTGGGCCTTGAGCACATAACCTCTGTGTCAATCATAGCAAAGTTCTCTGAAAAATTACAGATGAACTCCTTCGTGCTCACTGTGGAATTTTCATATTCCTCTTCACTCATTGAATGACCCCATTCAACAATGGTAGACAAACATGTATCGCCAAGCTGTGATCCTTGGTATTCTTCTTTTTCAACCGTAGAATATTCTTCCCAGAGTTTATCAAAATAAACTTCACACTTCTTGAGGACCTGTGAGGTTGAACTGTAAAATGTTCTGGGAATAGGTGCTTTGATACCAGGATCTGCTTTTACACGAGCTTCTGAAAACCTGCGGATCCAATGCTGCATGGTGCTGTAATAGTAGTTAGCCATTGGCTGCCTTTTGTACCCAGACATTCTGTAGGCCAAACTATTTGCATCACCAGAAATGATGTCCACCTCATAGACAAAACACTCGTAAAGCATCAATGCTGTCTGTTCTCCTGTCAGTAGGTGGGCATCCACAGCACGGTGTGTATCAACATGATAATTACAGACTCTGATGGTATGCATGTTCGCTCGAGTAAGTGGAACACGCTTGTCCTCAGGACCATAGTCATCAAATTCAAAGTCTGCATCCTTGAAATCTTGACGAGGCCTTGTTTCTCCAAAACAATTCTCGTAGATAGCCCAAGTTACATCACGCTGTTCACTGTGACCAAGTTCTTGATCATGTCCAGCAATGATCTTGACATATCCACCTGGTGCCAATCTAGCCATCACTGCAAGATTTCTCCCAATCATTGAAGCAAACTGTCCAATTCTTTTGCCCAATAAATTCCTTGGCAGGAACAAGAAGATGAGCTTCCTGGAGAATCACGACATGTGCACGTAAAAAGAAGAGCATGTTGAAGAAAAGGTTGTTCTCAAATTGCTCATTCTGAAGTGACATGGCGCTCTGTTTGCGTGGCCTCATTGCACTATCAAGTCCTTGGAGAAACCTTGGTGTGGTGTACTTCTGACCACGAACCATGTTGCCATAGTTCCAGGATAAAAATGTCAAGGACTCTGAGCTGGCCAATAAGTTAGTTCCATATGGTTCTTCTATTCTTCCCTTGAGGAACCTTCTGCACAGCTCTTCATAGAAGGTGACAAAGTCCCAACTGGGTCCCTTAGGACCATATGATTCCAGTTCCTTCTTGAGTTCCTTCTTCGTCTCCTCCAATTCTTCTCGAGCATGTCCTGCCCTTTCAAGGGCCTTTGGATCGACCTGATACTTGCCATCCAAATAAATGATGCGATCATCATTGATGAAGAATCTCTTCAAATCATGCTCTGCTTCATGTTCATAACAATCAGGTGGAGGTACTGGACAGATATTACGAATGGATCGAACAAAATCATTCTCGTTGATCCTCGACTGATAATGAGGATGGGAAATCTCACCTTTTCTGAAACAAACATGATTCAGCAATCTTGCGTGAGTTTCCCTGAAGCATAGTTGATAAAGGCCAATACCTGGATCTCCTGTAATCTCTCCAAGCAACTTCAACGGTGAAGTATGCAACTCATAGGTATTGTCAACTTTTGTTGTATCCTTTTCAACAACTACTTCAGATGGAAAAGGTTCCTGGATTTCAGCCTCCAATTTCTTCTCTCCATCATCCTCTCTGACCTCTTTTATTTTCTCCACCGCCTCTTTCTTCTCTTCCATGGTTGCATCATCCTGAACTTCTTCATGAAAATGAGGATCAGGTATTTTATTCAGGCGGCTTTTCTTAGATTTCGGCAGACGTAGAGTATCATCAAGGTTAGCATCCATCTCACCTGATGGTAAGTGCGATGCAGTCGAGTCCTCACCTATCTCTCTTGACAGAAAGTATGGTGTTGACTCCTCCTTGGCTTCCTCCTGGTCCACTTCCATCTTTGGTTCCTCTGAAGGAAAAACACCTGCGTTCTC